GAGCCTTGGGGGGTTGTGTGTATGATTGGTGGTGAGCCTTGGGGGTTGTGTGTATGATTGGTGGTGAGCCTTGGGGTGGGTTGTGTGTATGATTGGTGGTGAGCCTTGGGGGTTGTGTGTATGATTGGTGGTGAGCCTTGGGGGGTTGTATGTATGATTGGTGGTGAGCCTTGGGGGTTGTGTGTATGATTGGTGGTGAGCCTTGGGAGGGTTGTGTGTAGCATTGGTGGTGAGCCTTGGGGGTTGTGCGTATGATTGGTGAGTGAGCTTGGGGGTTGTGTGTATGATTGGTGGGCAGCCTTGGGGCGGTTGTGTATGATTGGTGGTGAGCCTTGGGGGGGTTGTGTGTATGATTGGTGGTGAGCCTTGGGGGTTGTGTTTATGATTGGTGGTGAGCCTTTGGGAGGTTGTGTGTATGATTGGTGGTGAGCCTTGGGGGGGTTGTGTGTATGATTGGTGGTGAGCCTTGGGGGCGGTTATGTGTATGATTGGTGGTGAGCCTTGGGGGGCAGTTGTGTATGATTGGTGGTGAGCCTTGGGGGTTGTGTGTATGATTGGTGGTGAGCCTTGGGGGCAGTTTTGTGTATGATTGGTGGTGAGCCTTGGGGGGGTTGTGTGTATGATTGGTGGTGAGCCTTGGGGGGGCGGTTTTGTGTATGATTGGTGGTGAGCCTTGGGGGTTGTGTTTATGATTGGTGGTGAGCCTTGGGGGGGCGTTATGTGTATGATTGGTGGTGAGCCTTGGGGGCGGTTGTATGATTGGTGGCGAGCATGGGGGGTTGTGTGTATGATGATTGGTGAGCCTTGGGGGGCGTTTGTGTGTATGATTGGTGGTGAGCCTTGGGGGGGTTGTGTGTATGATTGGTGGTGAGCCTTGGGGCGGTTGTGTGTATGATGATTGTGGTGAGCCTTGGGGGGCGGTTGTGTGTATGATTGGTGGTGAGCCTTGGGGGGTTGTGTGTATGATTGGTGGTGAGCCTTGGGGGGGGTGTGTGTATGATTGGTGGTGAGCCTTGGGGGGTTGTGTGTATGATTGGTGGTGAGCCTTGGGGGCGGTTGTGTATGATTGGTGGTGAGCCTTGGGGGGGTTGTGTGTATGATTGGTGGTGAGCCTTGGGGGGTGTGTGTATGGTGGTGGTGAGCCTTGGGGCGGTTGTGTATGATTGGTGGTGAGCCTTGGGGGGTTGTGTGTATGATTGGTGGTGAGCCTTGGGGGTTGTGTGTATGATTGGTGGTGAGCCTTGGGGGGTTGTGTGTATGATTGGTGGTGAGCCTTGGGGTGATGTATATTGGTGGTGAGCCTTGGGGGTTGTGTGTATGATTGGTGGTGAGCCTTGGGGCGGTTGTGTGTATGATTGGTGGTGAGCCTTGGGGCGGTTGTGTGTATGATTGGTAGAGCCTTTGGGGGGTTGGTGTATGATTGGTGGTGAGCCTTGGGGGGTGTATGAGTGGTAGAGCCTTGGGGGGGGTGGTTGTATGATTGGTGTGGCCTTGGGGGGGTTGTGTGTATGATTGGTGGTTTTGGGGTTGTGTATGATTGGTGGTGAGCCTTGGGAGGGTTTGGGTGTATGATTGGTGATCTTGGGGGGGTGTGTGTATGATTGGTGGTGAGCCTGGGGGCGGTTGTGTATGATTGGTGGTGAGCCTTGGGGGTTGGTGTATGATTGTGGTGAGCCCTGGGGGGTTGTGTGTATGATTGGTGTGAGCCTTGGGGGCGGTTGTGTGTGTATGATTGGTGGTGAGCCTTGGAGGTTGTGTGATGATTGGTGGTGAGCCTGGGGTTGTGTGTATGATTGGTGTGAGCCTGGGGGGGTTGTGTGTGTATGATTGGTGTGACCTTGGGGGGTTGTGTATGATTGGTGGTATTGGGCGGTTGTGTGTATGATTGGTGAGCCCAGTGGCTGTATGATTGGTGGTGAGCCTTGGGGGGGGTTGTGTGTATGATTGGTGGTGAGCCTGGGGGGTTGTGTGTATGATTGGTGTGAACCCTTGGGGGTTGTGTGTATGATTGGTGGTGAGCCTTGGGGGCGGTTGTGTGTATGATTGTGATGAGCCTTGGGCTGTGTATGATTGGTGGTGAGCCTTGGGGGCGGTTGTATATGATTGGTGGTGAGCCTTGGGGGGTGGTTGTGGATGATTGAGAGCCTTGGGGGCGGGTTGTGTATGATTGGTGAGCCTGGGGGGTTGTGTATGATTGTGACCTGGGGCGGTGGTTGGTGAGCCTTGGGGGTTGTGTGTATGATGGGTGAGCCTTGGGGCGGTTTGTATGATTGGTGGTGAGCCTGGGGTGGGGGTTGGGTGTATGATTGGTGAGCCTTGGGGCGGTTGTATGATTGGTGGTGAGCCTTGGGTGGTTGTGTATGATTGGTGGTGCTTTGGGCTGTGTATGATTGGTGGTGAGCCTTTGGGAGGGTTGTGTATGATTGGGAGAACCTTGGGGGTTGTGTATGATTGTGGTGAGCCTGGGGGGGTTGTCTTATGATTTGTGGTGAGCCTTGGGGGGGGGGTTGTGTATGATTGGTGTTGGGGGGTTGTGTATGATTGGTGGTGAGCCTTGGGGGCGGTTGTGTATGATTGGTGGTGAGCCTTGGGGGAGCATGATTGGTGGGAGCCTTGGGGGTTGTCTGTATGATTGGTGGTGAGCCTAGTTGTGTATGATTGGTGGTGAGCCTTGGGGAGGTGTGTATGATTGGTGGTGAACCTTGGGGGTTGTGTATGATTGGTGAGCCTTGGGGGGTTGTGTATGATTGGTGAGCCTTGGGGTGTGATTGGAGCCTGGGGGTATGTATGATTGGTGGTGAGCCTGGGGATTGGTGAGCCTTGGGGGAGGTTATGAGATTGTGGTGAGCCTTGGGGGGCGGTTATTGTATGAGGTGAGCCTTGGGGTTGGTGTAATGATTGGTGATGAGCCTTTGGGGGGTTGTGTATGATTGGTGGTGAGCCTGGGGGCGGGTTATGATTGGTGGTGAGCCGGTGTGTATGATTTGAGAGCCTGGGGTTGTGTGTATGATTGGTGGTGAGCCTTGGGGTTGTGTATGATTGTTATTGTTCTCGACGCCATACTTTATCTCGCCTGAGGTGTTAACTATTCACACACACACACACACAACAAAACACACGTAACTGTACTCCTGAGGTTGTTAATAATCACTAAAGGAGAACCAAAACTACATAAACTTTACTTTTGGAGGATCACCTGAAGATTAGCACCCCATCTTATTCTACATGAAGACTAAACACCTAATGGTAACCTAACCAACTAAATGTATCCTCCAACCTAAGACCCAACCCAACCTGAACCCAACCTCCAACCCAACTAACCTAACCAATCCCAACCTAACCTATCCCATTTTAACCTAATATAATCTAACTCAACCCTTCTCAAGAGTAGGGTGTTTATCTAATCATCAGGTAAAAAACCCTGAGGTAGGGAGGGAAGGGGAGGGAAGGGGTGGGGTGGAGGGGAGGAAGGTGGGGTGGAGGGAGGAAGGTGGGGGTGGAGGAGGGGAGATTGGAGGAGGAAGGGAAGAGGAGGAAAGAGGTTGAGGGGAGTGGGGAAGGAGGAGGAGGGAAGGAGGAAAGAAGGAGGGAAGGGGTTGAAGGGAAGGGTTGGAGAAAGGAAAGGGGAGGGGAAGTGAGGGAAGAGGGTTGGAGGAAAGGGAAGGAAGGGGGGAGAAAGGGGGTATTTGCATACAGTCCGCTTTCTGATGGTAGAGGCTCCTCAGGGTCATCCACCAGGTTCCTCAGTGAGCTCGGACAAGTGAATCTCGGTGTTTACATAGCGCTGGGACGTGTGGTTCATGCCCTGAATATATGTCCCTGTTTATGTAATATGAAGGATTTGTTTGTTTATATATCGTCCGGAATATCATTAGGCCTGAATTTAAGTCGTATGAGACGCAGAGACGGCGAGTTTATGTCAAATGAGATGCGCAGTTCGTGTTCATTTTGTTTGATATGTTACGTTCTTGTGGGTATTACTGGAGACGTTGGTAGCTGTGTTTGTCATCTGAGATTACGTTTAAATTTTGCTTCCAGGTGTTCTCGAGTGTTTCTCTGGGTTCTTGGCACTGGTCTTGTATCTCGTTCTAGATCTCGCTGTGGTCTTGTAGTTGTTTCAGATCTCGCTGTGTGTCTCGTTCTAGATCTCGCTGTGTGTCTCGTTCTAGATCTCGCTGTGTATCTCGTTCTAGATCTCGCTGTGGTCTCGTAGTTGTTCCAGATATCGTTGTGGCCTTATTGTTGTTCTAGATTTAGCTTTAACTTTGTACCTCGTTCTAGATCTCGCTGTGGTCTCGATTCTCGTTCTAGATCTTGCATTGGCCTTGTATCTCGTTCTAGATCAACCCGTGGCTTTGTATCTCGTTCTAGACCTCGATGTGGCCTTGTATCTCGTCCTAGATCTCACTGTGGCCTCGTAGTTGTTTCAGATCAAGCTGTGGTCATGCATATCATTCTAGATCTCGCTGTGGTCTCGAATCTCGTTCTAGATCTTGCATTGGCCTTGTATCTCGTTCTAGATCTCGCTGTGGTCTCGAATCTCGTTCTAGATCTCGCATTGGCCTTGTATCTCGTTCTAGACTTCGATGTGGCCTTGCATCTCATTCTAGATCTCGCTGTAACCTCGCAACTCATGTCACATCTCGTTGTAGGTCCTCGAACGCTGTCACCAGTCCTCGCAGCGGTCTCGAGTATCCTCCGCAGTTCTTGTAGTGGCCTCCAGCGCGTCTCCAGATACCAGACCAGCCCTCGCAATGTACGTCAGAATACTGGAGGCTTCTCTTGTGTAACCCGGTAAGCAAAGAGCCGCCGCCGGGAAACAGGAACACACCAACACTGCTCCGGTACACGTGGAGGCGCTGTGATAGAGCTGCTGGGGAGACTGGGTATGGTTTAATGGCGTCTAAGGTGGCTTAAGGATGATCTGAGAGGAACTAGTGTGGTTTAATGGCATCTGGGTTAAGGTTCATCTGAGACGAACTTGCGTGGTTTAATGGCGTCTAAGGTGGCTTAAGGATGATCTGAGAGGAACTAGTGTGGTTTAATGGCATCTAGGAGAGTTTAAGGTTGATTGGAGAGGAACTATTGTGGTTTAATGGCTTCTAGGAAGGTCTAAGGTTGATCTGAGACGAACTTGCGTGGTTTAATGGCATCTAGGAGGGTTTAAGGTTGATTGGAGAGGAACTATTGTGGTTTAATGGCTTCTAGGAAGGTCTAAGGTTGATCTGAGACGAACTTGCGTGGTTTAATGGCTTCTAGGAGGGTTTAAGGTTGATTGGAGAGGAACTATTGTGGTTTAATGGCTTCTAGGAAGGTCTAAGGTTGATCTGAGAAGAACTAGTCTGGTTTAACGTGTAAAACGGGTTCAGAGATGGCACTGACGTCGTAGGTGTGGGAGAAAGACATATCTCAAAGGAGTACAAGGTGTATTTGCCGGCAGAGTGGGGAGGGGCTAGTGAGGCGAGGCGGAGCGGACATGTACAGGTGAGGTTTTTAGAAATGCACAGGAGGTCGCTGGGTTTCCTTTTGAGTAAGTCTGGCTACATTAAAGTTCGTCTGTTAGGCTAGGCACGTACTCTGTTATTCCATGGGGGGTCGGTCGGAGCGGCTACCCACCCACCCACCAACCCTGTGTTTTTCCCGGTGTCTGTGTGGGCCGAGTACCTGCTGGTGTACGTGTTACAGGTGAAGCTTCTTGGGGGAGGGGGCCGGGGGGGAGGGGAAGAGGGGGGGGGAGGGGGGAGGAGAAGCGCTTGAAGGGTAATATATCATGCAAAAAAAAAGGTGGGGTGAGAACTTGAGGTTTTGATAATAACAAACAAAACATTTGACAGAGCAACTTGAGGCCTTAATAATAACGAAGAGGTATTTTATGGAGTGCTAATGTGTTGAAAACCATAAGATTATAATTACGTATCACTTTAAAGTCTTAGAAACCACGAAACAAAATCATTTAAGGACCAGTGAACTAAATTTTCACTTGTTCTCATCCATTCTCGCCCGTTCCCACCCATTCTCGTCCGTTCTCACCCATTCTCGTCCGTTCCCACCCATTTTCGTCTGTTCTAACCCATTCTCGCTTGTTCTCACTCATTCTCGCTTGTTCTCGCCCATTCTCGGCCGTTCCCACCCATTATCGTCAGTTCTAACCCATTCTCGTCCGTTCCCACCCATTATCGTCAGTTCTAACCCATTCTCGTCCGTTCCCACCCATTCTCGTCTGTTCTAACACATCTTCGCTTGTTCTCATCCATTCTCGCCCGTTCCCACCCATTCTCGTTCGTTCCCATCCATTCTCGCTCGTTCTCACCCATTCTCGCTCGTTCTCACTCATTTGCTCCCACCCTGTGAATGTACACACGCCAACGGTCTGTACACACTCTTGACTCATTCATAATTATGCTAAGCCCATCCTTTACGTGACTGTGTGTGTGTGTGTGTGTGTGTGTTTGAGAGAGAGAGAGAGAGAGAGAGAGAGAGAGAGAGAGAGAGAGAGAGAGAGAGAGAGAGCGTGTGTGTGTGTGTGTGTGTGTGTCCAAGTATCACAACCATCAGAGAACCAAATAATTATAAAAGCTAAACAAACAGATGACAAACGACAGGAAGACAAAACAAAAGACGTTCAGATCCCAAGAACTTATAAACAAACTCTTCAGCCAACACCAGGACACACCAGATTCAGAAACTTAAAACTAATTTATTTCGCCCATTTAAAAGACGAGGAGGTCCAACTACAGCGTTATAATCTTAAAGGTAATTTTGATGCTATTTTGACAGTTATCTTTGTGTTGGAGGTTACGTATGAGGCAGCTGGAGACGTTCTCACGGTGAGCTAGTTAGAGGAAGGGGAAATATAAACGACGTGAATCCAGAGGCTGAGTTCAGTGATGAGTATTAGTCTCTCGTCGTGGGCCCAGACGTATACCGTAGTAGCTTAAGTTATCTTGCCTGGAGGTGGTCGAGGGAATGAAGAACTGGCAAGGTAATTTCTGGTGAGGATCTCGTCGCCTGGAGGAGGAAGAAGTCTGAGTGGTCTTTTCACCCGAGGAAGAGAGAGAGAGAGAGATAGAGAAGAGCTGATGAAATTCCGTAATTCCATTCTCATGTTTAAGGCACTTTTCTGAAGAATTCCCTCAAGACCAGAATCCTTTTAACCCTCATGCAAGAAGAACTGGCATTAACAATGAACCTTTTCCGTAGTGTAACGTCTTACTGTACTGATTAAAAGAGATTCTTAAAGATTTAGCCCCAGAACTGTAATATTTTTCTTGATTTTCACAACTTTTTTTTCATTTTCCTTGATTATTATAATTTCTTCTTGATTTCCACCATTAACCCTTTTCTTCATTTCCATTCGTTTTTTCTTCATTAACGACGGTACAGAAACACAAGTTTGGTTTACAAAATGATCCATTACAGCGTGCAGGAGGTTACAGGAGGAAGAAACCATGAGATAAGATTACAGTCTAGAATTACAGGTTAAAGTTACAGGACGACGTATTTATTAATTCAGTTACAGGGGATGTGAGACTGTGAGGCTGAACGACGAAAATCAACCCGTCATCTGATGTAAAATTTTGTACAAGGAAGACTGTACCCTTGATGGTAGGTGTGGGCAGGTGTGGGTTAGTGTGGGGTGTGTGGGTAAGTGTGGGGTGTGGATGAAAGTAGAGGGTGTGCTTGATTATAATGGTGTGGATGAGTATATAGTGTGAATCAGTGTGTGGGTGTGGATGAGTGTATGGTGTGGATGAGTATATAGTGTGAATCAGTGTGTGGGTGTGGATGAGTGTATGGTGTGGATGATTGTATAGTGTGAATCAGTGTGTGGGTGTGGATGAGTGTATGGTGTGGATGATTGTATAGTGTGAATCAGTGTGTGGGTGTGGATGAGTGTATGGTGTGAAACAGTATGCGGGTGTAGATGAGTGTATGGTGTGGATGAGTATATAGTGTGAATCAGTGTGCGGGTGTGGATGAGTGTATGGTGTGGATGAGTATATAGTGTGAATCAGTGTGTGGGTGAGTATATAGTGTGAATCAGTGTGTGGATGAGTATATAGTGTGAATCAGTGTGTGGGTGTGGATGAATGTATAGTGTGAAACAGTATGCGGGTGTAGATGAGTGTATGGTGTGGATGAGTATATAGTGTGAATCAGTCTACGGGAGTGAATAATTGTATAGTGTGAATCAATGTACGGGAGTGGATGAGTGTATAGTGTGAAACAGTATGCGGGTGTGGATGAGTGTATGGTGTGAATGATTGTATAGTGTGAATCAGTGTACGGGAGTGGATGAGTGTATAGTGTGAATCAGTGTGTGGATGAGTGTATAGTGTGAATCAGTGTACGGGAGTGGATGAGTGTATAGTGTGGATGATTGTGTGTGAATCAGTGTGCAGGGTGGATGAGTGTGTATAGTGTGAATCAGTGTGTGGATAGGTGTATAGTGTGAATCAGTGTGCAGGGGAGTGGATGAGTGTATAGTGTGGATGGTTGTATAGTGTGAATCAGTGTGCAGGGTGGATGATTGTATAGTGTGGAATCAGTGTGCAGGGAGTGGATGAGTGTATAGTGTGAATCAGTGTACGGGAGTGGATGATTGTATAGTGTGAATCAGTGTACGGGAGTGGATGAGTGTATAGTGTGAATCAGTGTACGGGAGTGGATGAGTGTATAGTGTGAATCAGTGTATGGGAGTGGATGAGTGTACGGTGTGGATGAGTGTTTAGTGTGAATCAGTGTACGGGAGTGGATGAGTACTTCACAGATGGAGAAATAAAATGTGTGAGAGAGAGAATAAAAAAGTATTCATTTTTCCCAACAAGGGGATCTCATGCACCTGACAGACTGCTGAGTTCGTTTCACCTGTGCTAACTAACATCGAGCACAACAATGTTAAAAATTAGTTTCCTTCACATAATTTCACATGATAGATGAATATTTTTACGTTATATACCAAGACGACTAATAGATATTTTACATTATATCAAATTCGCAACTTGAAATCACAATCAGAACCAAAAAAAAAACATTTTATATAAGGGTTTCCTCTTAGGTATGGTGTTATGAAATTTATTGGCAAGATTAGCGGTAAAAGCTTTTTAGAATTTAGCGGAACATAAGTCTTCGGGCGTTTTAACTGAACATATGTCTCTTGTATTTCAGCGCGATTCAGTATACGAGTTTTTGCTTTCAGCCGAGTACAGTATAAGCCATTTCCATTTTGTTATATTTTATTAGTTTAACAAAAATAATACCGAAATAAGTAAAAGGGATTTGGAAATGATAAAGAGTTGGAATGTTTATTATTCCGTCACTTACACCGTATGATGCTGATATTTTGGGAAATGAAAAGGTTTACGTTTTGATATTAGAATGGCATTGTACTGGTGGTGAAAGTTAGGTTAGGTTAGAGTTGGGTTGGGTTAGGTTAGGTTAGGTTAGGTTAGAGTTAGATTAGGTTAGAGTTAGGTTAGGTTAGGTTAGGTTAGAGTTGGGTTAGGTTAGAGTTAGGTTAGAGTTAGGTTAGAGTTAGATTAGGTTAGAGTTAGGTTAGAGTTAGGTTAGGTTAGGTTAGAGTTGGGTTAGGTTAGAGTTAGGTTAGGTTAGATTTGGGTTAGGTTAGGTTAGGTTAGGTTAGGTTAGGTTAGGTTAGGTTAGGTTAGGTTAGAGTTAGGTTTGGTTACTCCCTGAAGGAAAGAAAATACGTCGGACAGAAGTGCTGTTGGACATAAAAGAAATCGGACAAAACTTCTTCAAAAAATACTGGACAAAAGCATCATGGGAACAAATGTGACACAAACACAAAGGTCACATCAGAATATAAAAGAGAAAATAAAAATAATATAAAAAACAACAAAAATAAAAAGAGGATAAAAATATGAAAAGAGGAAAGAAAGAAAGAAAACAAAAAATCAAATAAAAACACGATTGCCAGACGACAATACTCATTACCCCCAGCCTTCCCTACCACCCTAAACCCCCTACCACCACCACCCACTCCACCCCCACCCACACCCTCTACCCATTCTCCCACCACCCCCACGTCCCCTACCACCCATTCCCTCACCACCCGCACCATTACCACTAGGACAACACACAGGAGAGACCTTCCCACTCATGAGCGGAGTCCCTCAGGGGAGCGTCCTCTCCCCCACCCTATATATTATCTACACAAGTGACACCCCGCCTCCCACTAGAATAGGTAACGAAGATATTATGTATGCAGACATCACTCAAATAACAACACATCAAGGAAAATCGCGAGCGTTACAGGCCGACAACACCAGGCGGGAATTAGAAAGGGTAAATAATTACGAAAAACAATGGAAAATCCAAACCAGTCTCCCAAAATTCACAGTGATACACTTATGCAGAAGGAAAACCCATCCATTAGTAGCCAATAATGCCCAGATTGAATACAAAAGCAGAGGCGCCCTCCTAGGCCTGCATATATCCACGACAGGTTACTCCCATCATGTCCACACCAGGAAGGAAAAAGCAAGAAGAGAGCTGAGAAAACTATACCGCTTTAAAGCACTTCCTGAGAAAATAAAACTTCGCCTGGTGACATCATTTATCACACCGATATTAACTTACCCAGCAATACCTCTTCATACTATGAGCACCACCCAAAAATTAAAATTACAGGTGGTCCAAAATGAAGCCCTAAGATTCGTCACAGGTGAAAGATACCCCTTCACCAGAACCACAGCCGAGATACATAGAGACCTGAGAAAGAAACCCATCAACCAGCAGCTGCACACCCTGGCCAGCAGAATCTGGCAAAAGATAGAACGATCAGAGCAAGAACTCCTTCAAAGACTCCCACCAGATAACGACAACAACCATACATGGTTCCCAAAAAGTTACCAAATCTCAAAAGGTCCGTTACCACCCCTGATCTACACGGCCAGGCAATAGACAACCTCCCTAGACCAGCATCTGCCAGTGGGGTCGGCGGAACATGAAATAAGGCCCTTAAAACACCCATATATGGGACAGGGTAGGATGTCTAGTGTCTGTACCGACAGACAATAACTAACCCATGACACAACCCTAACACACTATTAGCTTAGCTAGGCGGTCAGCCCGCCCTCTCTTACCTCCTCCTAAATTTGTTCAATTTCCGAACTATAACTTCCTTCCCCCACCTCTAATCTTCCTTCACCCTCCTGTCTCTATATAAAAAAAAATAAAAAATAAATAACACATCCTCTACCCATTCTCCCACCACCACCACACCCCCTACCACCAACACCACCACCACCACCCCCCCTACCACCAACACCACCACCATCACACCCTCCCCCAATCTCTCACCGACTTTACATAATACCAGA